TCTCCTGACAACATGCTCAGAGTATTTGAGACAAAGTTTACCACCCTTGCCTCAAAGCAGCACTCCGGTTACACTTCCTCTAAGACAGACTTGTTTATTCTTTTGACAGTCCATGTGACAGTCAGTACTCTTCTCCAACACCACAATTCAAAAGCATAGATTCTTCTTTTGTCATCTTTATTCACTGGAAAGCTTCAAACACTGCAGCCATTTATAAAAAGATTTAAAAGTTATATTGAAGTATAATTTTCATATTGTCAAAATTCACACATTATATGAGTGAATTCTATGATTTTTAGTAGATTTAATCAATTGTGCAATCATCACCATCATCCAAAATTAGAAGGTTTTTGTCATCCCCCAAAAATGCTACTTTTGCTAGTTGTAGGGATTTAGGTTCTAAAGAAGCCCAGCCTTAGGGAGCTCTGGTGGCCTAGTGGCAAGAACCTGTGCTGCAATTCCAAAGGTATGCAGTTTGAATCCACCAGATGCTCCATTAGAGGGGCAATCACCAGACGATCCACCAGACCTTCTCCACTGGAGAAGATGGGGCAATCTTCTCTTGTGCCAGTCTGATCTGACTAGATGGTACACAAGCGGGGGGGGGGGGGCAGCAGCCCAGCCCTAAGCAACCACAGAAATGCTTAGCAAGTGAAATTCTTCTCTCCTTACACACAAACAGCTTAAATAGTTTAGTGCCTGTTACTCTCTCTGACTTTTTAGACATATATATAAAAGATGTACATCCTTATACAAAAGAGAAGGAGGTCATACACACTGCTGTTTGTGTCTTGACTTGAGAATCTCATCTTGCTTACTAAGGGCCTACTAAATGCCAGGCACAATCGGATCTAGTCCGTTCTTTTTTTTCTTAGCTGCATAGTGGTCCATTGTGTGGTGGCGTCATAATTTATTTAGCCAGAGCATTTGGGTCCTTTCCAGTTTTCTTCAAACAATGCTTCAGTGAACACCCTTGCACATATGTCTTTGCATTTGCCTGTAAGTCATTCTGTAGGAAGTAGAACTGTCATTTCATTGTGCTTTATTAAAAAATAACAAGTAAAACAAGCCTGCATTGACTAGAGTCAAATCTGCATGTAGAGTGGTTAAATCTGCTGATGCTTCCACCAAATGCACGTGAGAGCAGTAGGATATTTATAATCCTCAAAATTTTGAGGGCCAGGAGGAAGCTTTTTGAAATAACACCTGAACTGACCACCTTCGGGCTCGTGTACCCAGGATGGGATGACGTGGAGCCTGAGAGCTCAAGCTGTTCTGTGGTTTTCCCATAAACATGAGGATTAACTCACACTCTGCAGCATGTGCTGCAGGCCCCTGTGCCCTCTGCTGCCCTCTCCAGCCTTGTTGGCATGTATTAGACTCTAGACTGCTCTTTACTTCCTGAATACCCTTCCTTGTCATTTGCCTACTTGCTTGCTCACTGTCCACGATGTCAAACTCTTTTCTTCTCAATCTCCGTGTATCAGAACTCTCTGTCCTTCAAGGCCCAGGTCACAAGTTTCTTTCTTCATAAAGAATTTTTGTAATCCTACCTACAACATGGATTGTCTTCTCCCTCTCTCTGTGTTCCCTTAACCCTTATCTGATCTACGTACACCCTTAAGTGGGAGTAAGCTGTGGGTGGTAGAAGGCAGATTTCAACTTGTGTCTATAGAAGTTGGGATCTAGGAGAAATAATAGGGGATTAGATTTTGAGGAGGGAGAGGAGACTAACCATTAATTTAGGTGTAAGCCATTTTCAGATACACAGATTCACTTACTCTTCCACTGTATATGTACCCATTTAGCAGATGAGGCTAGTAAAGCAGAAATAAATTGCACACACATTACAGATCTAAGATGTGGAGGCAGGAGTCAAACCTAGGTCTTAGCTACCCAAGTCCCTTTCCTGTCACTGCACTGAACTGGTGAGGGAAGGAGAGGATTTAGGTTGTGATAAGATCCTAAAAACAGAATTTGGGGCAGGCAGAGTGGTGTGAAGGAACACAGAGGAGTTGGTGAAGGTCTTGGGGAGCTAGCCTAGGTGACTGAATAGGACTTCTAACCAAATGACTTGTGACTCTAGTGGGACTATGGAGTGAGGAACCAGGAGTGTGGAGTAAGGTGGGAGAGAAATGTTCAACTTCTGCTGAAGAACCAATAGTTAGTCCCTCAAACAGAAGAGAAAACAAAGACCTACATGAAACAATACAAACTTGTTCTTTAGAGATATGAATGTAAATCCTACAATAATCACTAAAGGAGGTAGCTGGAGGAGGCTGCCCCTAGGGAGAGGCTAAGTGGATTTGCTTGCGAGGGGACAATTTTGCATATACAAACATGTGACTTTAAGTTTTGATAATATCCCAGCAAAAATGACAAGAAAACAACAAATGCTGGTGAGCATGTGGAGACAATAGAACTCTCATAAATCTGTGGGACTGCAAATCGTACAACTGTTGTGGAAAACAATATGGTGTTTCTTAAAAGTGGGAAATAAGAATACCATTTGATCAAGCGATCCCACTGCTAGTTATATCCTAACGAAATGAAAGCTGTGACATGAATAGATACATGCAAGCCTATGTTTACTGCAGTGTTGTTTATAATAGCAGAGAAATAGAAACAATCCAAGTGTCCAGCAACAGTTGAATGGATATTTGGAACACTAATGAATAAGTTGTGAAACACTTCATAACATGGATGAATCTAAAGAACATTATGCTGAATGAAGTGCCAGTCACAAAAGGATAAATACTGTATTAATACAGTATTATAAAAATCCGAGGAAATGTTTACACACAATAAGAAACATTTTTTTGATGGTTACCAAGATTGGAAGGGTAGAAATAATGTTGTTGATGTGTGTGGCTCAATCAGAACCAACCCATACCTATAGCTTACCCTCCAGTGGGTTTTCAGAGGCAGTAAATTCCATGGGAGGAGACTGCCCATCCTTCTCCCATGAACTCCCTGGGGTAAGGGAAAGTCAATATACAAGAAAGACATGATGAACATACTTGCTAAAGAAAAGAAAGATACACAAAGAAGTGAACAAGAGATACAGCCAGTATTATTACAGATACAGTCCTGTGCTATCAGTAATGAAATTAATCTGCAACTAGATGCATGGACAGACAGGCAAGAAACATAGTTCTGGGCAGATGAAAGGCACTACACCATGACTATAATAAAACCAAACCGAGGGATCTCTGGTGGTTTAGTGGCAAGAAGCTGTGCTGCAATCCTGAAGACATGCAGTTTGAATCCATCAGATGCTCTTCTGAAGGAGGGGAAATTCCTTCTGTGTCAGTCAGATCTGATTCGATGGTACCCAAGGGCGGGGGAAGGACACAACCCCCAAAACAAAACAAACCCACTGCATAGCAACTCTGTCAGTTTCCTGAGGTTGCAAACCTTTACCAGAGGAGATCCATCTTTCTTCTCCTGCAGAGTAAACTGCTGATCATTTGGTTAGCAGCCCCGTGCCCAGCACTCTTCCTATATTTAGAACCCCAGACAATATTTCTACTTGCACATTTTTTAAAGCTTTATTATTTTTTAAATAATTATAATGAGCATTTACAGAGATTTTGGATTTCCATTCATCCATTGCTGCACTTCTCCCCCTCCCCCACCCAGCCTCCCCCCAGTTCACTCCTCTCTTTCAAAAGTAAAAGAAACACTCCCTCCCTGGGACACAATTCCCCACACCCCTCCCGCCGCCCCAAGTACATTCCACTATGCAACCTTAGTTGTGGACTCTTGTGATAACCATAATACCCTATTATACATCGCTTTTAAATTATTCACTCCCTCATCTGTTTCAGTGCAGTATACACAATTTATCCAATTTTTCTCAAGTCTTACCCCAACCCTGATATCAGTCCCATTTTACAGCAGTGGCACCATGCAATATTTGTCCTTTTTGCGACTGGGATATTTCACTCAGCATAATGTCCTCCAGAGTCACCCATTTTGAATTATTATTGCATGAGTTCCTTGTTTTTCAATGCAGCATAGTATTCCATTGTGTGAATATACCACAGCTTCTCTATCCATTCGTTTGTTGATGGACACTTAGGCTGTTTCCAACTCCTTGCTATTGTGAACAAAGCTGCAATAAACATGGGTGTGCATTCTACTTGAACATTTATACTTGTCAGTATAATCATGTATATAGTAGAACCAATAAGGGATAAAAAGAAAAAAATAGATTTTCGTAAAATGAAGTTTTAAAAAAGAAAAATATTTTTTTGATAACGTAGACACGAAGACCATTTTAGTCAAGTACTAAAAGCCAGACAACCTAGTGGTTGAGAATTCTGGCCTGCCCTGCTTTGCTTCATGTGTTAGGTGGAGACGCTGGAGCTACCTTTGGTGGGGCTCCTCAGCTTACCCGAGGCTCAGGCACTAAGTGCCTGGGTTCAGATCCTGGCGCTACCATTCACTAGTTGCAAGCACTTGTGTACTAGTTCCTTAACAACTCTGAGGATCAGTTTCCTCTTGCCAAGCCGGACTGTCCACAGTACCCACTCGATAAACTTGTAAATGCAACAAATAATAGGAAATCTTTAGCAAATAGTAAATCTTGCCATTTTCTTGCTAGAGAAGTTAAACACGAAGAGTAGTCACAAGTGGCTTACACCGCAGGAGGAGGCTGAGTTGGGTTCCCTGACGTTGGTGTCCTTTGGTCGAGTCTGCCTTATGCTAGGGCCTGCCCGGAGCTGGAGCTGGGGTGCAGGGGCAGATGCTCCCGGTTGGTTCAGTCCCACTGGGAACCCAGATGTCTCCAAGATCTGAGCCAGATCCCCGCCCCTCGCTGGCCCAGGAGTCCAGCCCTGCTCTGGGCCCTAACTGCAGGGCGGTCCCCCAGCATGGGCGTGGTAGGCAGGAGGCTACTTAAGCCTGGCGACCAGAGGCCGCGGCTGTGGACTGGGTGCTGTGCCTCAGTCACCGCTATGGCTCCTCCGAGCTGCTCCGCGTGCGCGCTGCTTGGCGCGCTGCTCCTGGCGCTCGGCGCGCTCTTGCCCCCGGTTCTCGGGGCCACCGCGCCGCGGGGAGCGGTCCAGGCGCAGCCGCCCCAGGCGCGGGTGAGTGCCAGGGGCCCCGGGGCTCCCGGAGTAACTCTCTATTCTAAGTTCTTGCAGATACAACACTAGGAAAAGGGGAATAATTCAGGTCTAGAATGGAAAAACTGTTTTGTTGCTTTGTAAGTATTTCCTGCTGCTTTCCGGGCTCCTGACGGGGGCGGGAGCTTCGGGGTCCTGGCTTTTCCCTTCCCTAACCTCACCTGGGCCGGATTTCTATACCCCTTCCTGACTTCTCTTCCTTGTTTAATTTACCCTTTCTAATTTCTCTTCCTCCTTACATTACGTCTCCTGGTTTCTTCCCTTTTCCGATTTTTTCTTCATATGAGATTCCTCATATGATTACTCTCTCCTCTATTTCCTCCTTTTCGTTTGTATAGCATCACTTCTGTCGGATTATCATCATTGCTATCTCCACTCTGATTTCTCCTCCGCCCCATCTGGTTTCTCTTGCCTGCTCCTGTTTTGTGTTTGGATAGGGCAAAGTTCAGATGCATTGTTCTTAGAGTCGCTGTGAATCGTAATTGACTTGATGACACTTAACAACAACTCCCCGAGCTTCCCTCACTCCCATCTTCTTTGACTCCTCCGGCCCTGGTGATTTCCACCCTCAGCTCCAGGCTAACCTTCCTGCGTCAGCTCCAGCCCCAGTGCATGTATGATCCCTCTTCCTTTCCGCCTTGACCACTTCTCCGACAGATTCCTGCAGACCCCTCTGTGTCCACTTCTTCCAAGAAGTGGGAATTGGGGGTAGGGTGTTGGGGGGCAGGAGGGAGAAGGCAGACAGCGCAGGAGGCCACTTGGGCTCAACCATCTAGGCCCGCGTTTGAAGAATGATGGGTGGCAAATGAAACATGGGAAGTCTTCTCATCTCCAAAAAGCACAAGCAAACAGACTGTGTGATTTTGGACCAGTCCAGTCCCTCTTTAGGACTTCGTTTTCTCATTTATTGTAGTGGGGTTCCGTTGTGAGCTCTGTGAGGGCACTTCCAGCTCTGTGAGCCACTGATGATGCTTCTCGATTTACCATTACTATCTGGGGATCTCCTCATGGTCCCCTGAGATGGTGCTCCTGTAGCATGAGGCAGTTCCTGCAACACCCTTTCTGAGCTGAGTTTCCTGGCTGGCTCAGTTCACCTTTCTGGGCCTCCATCATCATATCCAATTGGCACTAAGAAATAAAGGAAGAGGTAGAAATGTCTCCCCAACCCTGGGGAGAAAAGTGGATGGGAAATGGAATAATAGGAGAGCCATATGCCGGCCAAGGTTTGCATCATAAACTCTGGCCAGTTTGCTTACTCAGCACAACAGTGGGGGGCATGCAAGGAATAGCCCACTTCAGGAGTGAGGAGAGCCAGAGACTCAAGTGAGATGCCCTTGGTGCTGGCAACCACCCTCCCTCGTGCCCAGGGTCTGTCGATGCTTGGTGTCCCCGGACCCATGCTCTCTGCTCAGGCCTTGCCCTGTCTCTTCCTCAGCCCAGCAGCATGGTGGTGGAACATCCCGAGTTCCTCAAGGCAGGCAAGGAGGCCGGCCTGCAGATCTGGCGAGTGGAGAAGTTCGATCTGGTGCCTGTGCCCCCCAACCTTTATGGAGACTTCTTCACTGGTGATGCCTATGTCATCCTGAAGACAGTGCAGCTGAGGAATGGGAATCTGCAGTATGACCTCCACTACTGGCTGGGTGAGGCTGGCTCCTGCCCAGCTCCTGCTCCATCTCCCTGCTCCTGACCCTGTAAAGCTCAGACCTTTGAGATGTGACTTCCCAGGAGGGATTCAAGGTGGCTAGCTGATTCCTGGAAACTAAATACATGCCAAGCTCTTGATTAGTGGTTATACTTCCAGGCTCAAGAGCCAGGCTGCCCTAGTTCTGTGCCCTTTACCACAGTCTGCCCTTTGACAAGTCCATCGATGGTTCTGTCAAATGAGGATGATGAGTCTTACCTACCACAGAAGAGCATCATGACGTTTAAGTGAATGACTCTGGTTTTTAGAATTGTGAGTGACTCAGGGATCTTGAACCGCATCCACAGCTTCCCTGGCTCAGCTCCAACCACACCTCATTTTGCCCTTCAATGTTGGGAGCCTCGAGTTCCTACCACAGCTGTGCCATGTGAACTTGCACATCCTGCGCTCTCATTTGAACCTGTGTCCTAGTCTGTGAATGTGCTCTGTCCTGGTTTGATGCCTCTGAGAATCAGGGTCTGGTAAGAGGGGTGAGTGTGTCAGCAAAAGAAGAATCCTAGAGACCAGCAGTCCAGCTCCCCTACCTCCTCCATTACCTCTACCCATTAGATGGAGTATCGGAGATTTGCAGAGGGCAGGGAGTTACTCAATTTCCACAGCCAGGCCAGGGAGGCGCCTGAGACTCTGGATGAGTTTTAGGAAGTCAGGCTTATGTTGTTCTCATGTCTCCCAGGCAATGAGTGCAGCCAGGACGAGAGTGGAGCAGCTGCCATCTTCACCGTGCAGCTGGATGACTACCTGAACGGCCGGGCCATCCAGCACCGTGAGGTCCAAGGGTTCGAGTCCTCCACATTCCTTGGCTACTTCAAGTCTGGCCTCAAGTATAAGGTGGGTGAGGTCCTACATGCAGTCAAGACAGAAGTTCCAAGGGCTGGGCTCACTGGTGTCCTTCTCTCTGTCCACTTTGTGTGGGTGGTGTCAGCGCTTAGGCTTTCGAGTTGACTAGTCCTAAATTTGTATCCTTGCCCATTCTTCTTGCCCTAAAATGAGAAGAAAATTCCCCATAATGTCACAGGGAGGCCATGGGTAGACCTTGAATAGAAAACCAAACCTTCTGCCAGGTTTTGAAACTTGGACCAATTTCTGTTTCAGTGCCCTTTAGTTTTTAGAGCCTTGCTATAGGAGAATTGTATTGGGTCCTAAAAAGGACACCTTGGTCACAGCCTTCTGTTCACTAGAATTCCCTTGACCTTGAACTCTTGAAGAGTCTGGGAGGGCACAGAGCTCTTTTCCTTAAATCCCCAGTCAGGTGGGGCTGAGCAAAGCTAGGTGAGCTGAGAGACTGTGCCCAGATATGCTGTGTGGCCTCCAGTAAGTCAACTGGATTTCCAACTCCTTTTCCTCATCACTAACCCGCAGATCAGTTGTACCCACCCTACAGGTTGGGGGAATATTTGGAGAAACGGTAACTGGGAAGAATCTTGCTTGAGGCTTGCTCCTCGGAAGAGATTGTTTGGGATAGCCTAGTGAGATCACTAGCTTTCCATAGCCAGATGGATCTTCATGACAGAGGGTAAATGCGTCATTTTGTAAGATGGAAACAAGCCCAGAGAGGTTAAGCAACTGGCCCAGGGCCACACAGTGTGCAAAAACTAGGACCAGATCTAGATCTCCCCCCCACCCCACTCCTAGTGTTTATGCTTAGAAAGGTGTAGGGCCAGCTAAAGAGAGGAAGATCCTCAACATGATGGATTGGTACAGGGACTGTAACAATGGGCTCAAGTGTATTGGAGATGGTAAAGACGGCACAGGACAAGACAGGGTTCCCATTTGTCATTCATAGGGTCGCTATGAGTCATTCTTGACAGCATCTCACAACAACAGTGTGGGTTGTGTTGGGTTTTTATGTATGTATGTATTTTATTTTATTTTAATGAGCATTTACAGAGACTTTGGATTTCCATTCATTCATTGTTGCACTTTTCTCCCTGCCCACTCCTCCCCCCTCCCCAGTTCACTCTTCTCTTTGAAAAGTAAAAGAAATTCCTTTATTCATATACAATCCCATAGCCCCGAGTACACTCCACTATGCAACCTTCATTCTGGACTCTTGTCATAGCCATAATACCCAATCATATATCACTTTTAAACTATTCTCTCCCTCATCTGTTTCAATGCAGTATACATAATTTACCCATTTTTTCCCAATCTTACCCCAACCCTGATGTCAGTCCCGTTCTACAACAGTGGCACCATGCAGTATTTGTCTTTTTGTGACTGAGGTATTTCACTCAGCATAATGTCCTCCAGGGGCACCCATTTTGAATAATATTGCATGAGTTCCTTATTTTTCAATGCAGTGTAGTATTCCATTGTGTGAATATACCACAGCTTCTCTATCCATTCGTTTGTTGATGAACACAACAATAGTATTTTATCTAATATCCCAATCTACCTTAATGAGTAGGATTCTAGAATAGATTTTAAGCCATGGCTATGTCACTGATAGGCTGTGTGACCTTAGAGAAGTCATTGTCCCTCTCTGGGCCTCTAGACCGAATTGTGGTAGTGAATACAATGACTTTTTGGCTGGGTGTGCCTAGGGGATGGGATGATGGGAGAGTGCCAGCAAAGCTGAGTTAGTGAAGGGCAGGGTGTGGCCTGGGAACCCAGCCTCAGCACTAAGCCGGGCAGGACTGGGTTAGGCTGGGTTACCTGGAAGCCTACCCAGCCCTTCTCATCACTCTGCTGTGCCCAGAGCTCCTCTCCCTGAGCTACCCAGTACTGGGCACCAGGGACCTTGGTCCTGTGAAATAGGATAAATGAGAAGATTGAGAACCAAGCAGCTGGCCTAGAGAACTGGAGAAGGGCCAGGTCTTTCTACAAGTCCTAGAAAAGGGAATGGAAAGAGCATTTAAATAGGAGTCAGAAAGATTAAGGTTCGGGGCCAACACCACCACCTCAAACTGTGGTGAGACTTTGGGAGAATCCTTTATCTCTGAGTGTATGAACTATACTCCCCATTCAATCATTCATTCAACACATATGAGTTTGTAACCACAATGTCTGTTTATTGTTGATGTGTGGCAGTCACTGTATTGGGTTCACGCATTTCCCCATTGAATCTCACAAGCGTCCTGGGAAGTAGGTAGTGAGAGCTCCATTTTACAGATCAGGAAACTTGAGGCTTAGCAGGGTTATATGACAAATAAGTGGTAAAAGAATGTTCCAAGCCAGCCCCAGGCTTCCCTACTCCCTTCCCACGCTATATCTTGCTGTGTGCTGGGTGATGGGATACCCTGACAAGGAGACAGGAGCCCTTTAAGGCTTCACTTGGGGTAGGGGGGACTAATAGGATCACAAAGAATCACAATCCTGTGGGGCCAGCGGAAGATTGGAAACCACAGGGCCTAGGCCACAAAGGAGGGAATGGGTGGAAGTCCAGCTCTGGAAGGCGTTCCTGGCTAGATAGATGAATAGGACCTCGTTCATCTGTCTTGCTTTGGTTAACTATTTCCTAGGGGATAGTCTGAGGATTTAACATTGGTTACAAATAGGAAAGTTCTCTTGATGCAAGGAGGACAAGTACAGCAGATGAGAGAATGTTGCAGAACAGGTGAACTAATAGTGTGGATTTTTAGACAGAAATAAGGGCAACAGGAACTGCTGTGTTGAGCCTTGACTCCATGGTCTCACTTCATTCTCACCAGTCTTTAGGGTGAATGGTCACATTCCCATTTCATAGAAGATGAAGCTGAGGCTCTGAAGGGTGAATTCACTTGCCTGAGATCTTGGGCAACTAATGATGCTTATTATTTAATTAATGATGTTAGTTAATTAGTGATGCTCATCCTTTAACCTCTGCACATTACTTCCTGTGTGGCAGGGGTTCTTCGCAGTGCTTTACTCTAACTCATTTCCCCTGTGAGGCACTTACTAGTATTACCCATATTTTAAAGAAGAATTTGACACACAGAGGAGTTAAGCAGCTTACCCGAGGTCACACAGTTAGTCATGGAGAAGCTGGGGTTCAGACTCCCTCTGCCAATTCTGAAACCTGTGTCTGGTCTGTCCCACTCAGAGCTGGGTTCTGAGTGGGCATTTTAAGACTCTGGCCTTTGACCTTAGCTGGGGGTTGCCTAGAAACCTGCATTCAGCTCCCGAACCTAGCCCCAGGTGATTTTTGCAGGTTATACCTGAACCACATTCTGAGGAACATGTAGGACATGGGTCCCCAGCCTGGCCTCAGAATTGGGACTGCAGTCCTGAAAGGCTCTGGCTCCTGGTGGAAATTCGAGGTCCAAGGCTGGTCCTGTTTTTCACCTTCTGCGAGTCCTCCTCTGGCTGCCCCCGCACTTGGCAGATCTCGGCCTGGCTCCCTCATCAATTATGGATCTCCAAGGAGCAGGGCTTGTTATGCAAGACTTGTTTCTGTGAAAGCCTCCTCCTCAGAGCCAGTTTGTCCTCCTGAGTACAGAGGGGGTCAGGGAGGGGCCGGCCAGGGCGGGGCCAGCAAGCCTGCAGAGGGCTGTCCTGGGGCCTGGCTGAGCTGATTGACTCCTAAAATCCTCAAATAAAATTCACTGCAGGTCAGTTCAGATCGCCTTGAAACAGGTGTTCCTTCTCCACTGTCAGAGGGAACCCTGGAGACCCCAGGGCTGTTCTTTGAAGTCTTTTGTTCAAGTGAAGACCGGACTGAGCAGATTCCTTAGGAGCCCTGGACTGAGGAACACAATCAGAAAACTACAGAATCACTAGAACCTTCCCTCCCCTCTTCTTCCTCCGCTCCCTCCCTCTCATCTCTTACATAACGAACCCTGGGTTTACAGGGCGGAGAGGTCCAGCCCTCAATATGGTTTGTTTTATAACCGGATTACTATTTGTTTTCATGGAAATACTTTTTATTCTTCTTCTGATTGGAAGAGAAATACAAACTTATTGTTAAAATGTTGAATGTTATCGAAATATAGGTTTTAGAAAGTCAAAATCTTCCATGATTTTGTTCCTGGAGAGAATCACCACCTATATTTTTTAAAAAAAAATAAAAAGGATAAAAACTTCTTAGAAATCTCTGTTCCACTTCCCTCTTTGTAAAACCACTAAGATCTTTCTTCTATTTTTTTGTTAACACACTTTTCAAGTTTAATGTCCTAAATCAATAATTATACCACCAGGGGCTATAATATTACTAGTTAACCAGAAAATGCATTAATCAGAATCATTAGAAATTAAATATTCTTGGTGTGTTGTTTGTTTTTTTTTTAAAAAGCAACCATAAAAACTTGTGGTTTGAGTGAAAATTTACAAAGCAAATCAGTTTTCTGCTCAACCACTCATGTACGTGCTTTATAGTATAATTACCATACTGGTGATGTAACCACATCTTCCAGTTCCCTCCCTATAATTCTCATTTCTATTGATCCTTCTATTCAGCCCTTTCTGAAGTATTGCATTTGAAAATAAATGCATATACAGGGAATGTGTATAACTGAAATTAACTTTTAATTCTTCTCTTTTTTTATTTTAAGGGGGGGGGGAAGGCCCGCTTGAACAAATAAAATACTTGAGAGGAATGTTTTTTGAAAAGTTACATCCTTCCCACCCCTCCCATTTCCTCATTTCCTGCTTTCTTTGAGAAATTAGTTCAAATAGCTGATAGGTTTCCAGTACTTTTTACAAAAATCTTTCCAATTTCAACTTTTAACTTCTAGCTAAATTAAGTCCCTGGATCATATTGCCCAACTCAGAAGTTCCTGGACAAATGGACAGGCCAATCCTATGTATGCCAGAGAACTGTGCTTCATCTGGTTTTTAATGGCTGGGTTTTGGGGGCAGTGGATTTCCAGATCCTTCTTCCAAGAATGCCTGGGTGGACTTGAACCTCCAACTTTCTAGTTTGTAATGGAGTATGTTAACCATTTTATTACCCAGAATTCTAACTGCTACCACAAAGGCAGAGCTGAGTGAGACTGAGGTAGCATTGTTAAGTGGAGAGAGAGAAAGAAGATGTAGGTTTATAATAGCCCAAGAAAACTTCCTAGAGAAGGACTGGAGCCTTGACAGATGGAAAGATTTGGATTTGCACTTTTCAATGTGTATCCTGCACACTTTGAAAGTTGTGAGCTGAGTGTTATGGGGGAAGGGTGGTGAGTTTTGATTCCATAAAGTAGATAAATGAAAAAAAAGTAGATAAATAGTGTGTAAAGCCAAAAATAAGAACGTTTCTTCAAAGTCTTCATAGAGCCTTTATTATGTTCACATGCACTGGGCACAGTCAGGGATAGGCTGTAAGGAACATTCTCTGTGTTCATTTACAGAATATTTTCTATGAGTACGTTCAGAAGATGTTTTTGAGACTGGGATACTTTCTCCTCTTGGACTCAGGAAAATGATCCTGAGAAGTCTTTGTGAGTGAAGTGTAAGAGTGAAAAGGGGACAGCGAGGTGCAGCAAATGGGAAGCTATGGTCTGCCACTTCCTAGCTATGTGACCTTGGCACATTTTATTCCCTTTCTGAATGCGTTACGATCTCTGAAATAGGAGAAAAGAATGTTCTAACCTCAAATAAGATGCTAAGTGTGGAAATCCTCTGTTGACTAGAATCACTGAGCTGCTAGAAGGTCATGGATCCATGGGGCAGATTATCTTCAGTGCAGAGCTGTCTTTCTTCCCTTTATCTCTCTTCCTGGCCCCATACTGGAGTCTTGGCCTGAACTGACACTGTCTCCTTGAATTGGCAGAAAGGAGGTGTGGCATCAGGATTCAAGCACGTGGTCCCCAACGAAGTGGTGGTGCAGAGACTATTCCAAGTCAAAGGAAGGCGCACGGTCCGTGCCACTGAAGTGCCGGTGTCCTGGGACAGCTTCAATAGTGGTGACTGCTTCATCCTCGACCTGGGCAGTGTGAGTCCTACCCTGCCCTTTCCCAGAGGGCGCTGATGGGGGCCTTCCCCAGCCTGACAGTAGGGAGAGTGACACACCCATGTGTAACACATGTGCTCTGTGCACGAGTCAGACATACCTGCAAAGACCACTGTTCAGACATGCTCGGCGTACACAGACCCCCATGCGTGTAGATTCCAGCCTGCCATTCTCTTGTGCACAGCTCTCAGGTACACATCAAATGCACGGGATACTTGAACTCAGATTAACATAGAGACTCCCTGGCTTCTTGAGTTTGTATGGGAGTTGGGTATCTGCTTACAAATGCACGTGAATTCACATGTATGAATGTATGAGTGCACACGGCCAATCCTCTCTAAACTAATGTACCTTTCCAAGTAGCCTTTAAAAAAATAACGGCAAAGCACACCAACCAACTCATTGCCATCGAGTTGGCACTGACTCACAGCTGACTGTCCAGTGGATTTTCAGAGGCTGTAAATTGCCTAGAAGCGGATTGTTCATATTTCATCTTTGTCTCCCTGAGAAGCTGGTAGATTGAAACATTTGAATTGGCAATACAGATCTTTACTCAGAGCTTTCCGTCAGAGCTCCCTACATATACTAGAAAGTACATTTTACATAAAACATGCTGTTTTAGTGTAGACATTTTATTATAGAAAATGTGCAGACAAGTGCCTCAATCCTTTCTCTTACTGAAGGGCCTTTGCCACAGTCACTGGCTTGACGGCTACTATCAGTAGTGCTGCTCTGAAGATGCTTGTATAGATCTTTTATGGAAATGGGAATATATTTCTGTTGGGTATATTTCTACGAGTGGAATTGCTGATGGGCATTCTTCTCTCCTGGAACTGAAAGTCTCTGAAGACCTTTGGAGGGCCAACTATGAGTCAATTCTGACTAGAGGTTACAAACAACAATGATAGCAGGATATTAAAAACAAACAAGCCAGAAAACCACCAAAGCCATTGAGTCACTTCTGACTGAGATTGATTCTCCACTGCGTCTCTGAGGCTGTAAATCTTTATGTGAGGAAATTGCCATCTGTCTTCCTCAAAGCAGCTGGTAGGTTTGAGCTGCCACCTTTTGAATTATCAGCACAACATGTAATGCATTTGCCACCAAAGCACTTTTTTAAGGTTCCAGTATATGAATTTTGGCAGCTACAACCAAATGGTTTTCAAAAGAACTTGCACTGATTTACATTCTCCTCAGCACACTGTTGTTTTTATATACATCCCACATGTATCTGTATCTTTGGAAAAACACACGTTCCCAGATATGCACTCGCATACCATGGTGGATGTACATGGATCACATTCATTTTACGGGGTGTAGATACACTCATGCTGTGCCAGTCCTCACCTACACAAACACAGAATGAGGAGAACTTGCCCAGCACACCCATCCTCACAGCCTTCTCTTTTGGATATGTCGAGAGGGCTTATACTCAGGAGAAGGATGGGCACTCTCCTCCCGTGTGATTAACTGCCTCTGAAAACCCGCTGGAGGGTCAGCTGTGGATCGGTTCCAACTCTACAATGTACAACAACAGAGAGCTTATAAGAGATCTGGTGGCCAAGTGGTAAAAAACTACACTGCAATCTCAAAGGCATACGGTTCAAATTCACCATCTGATCTGCGGGAGAAGTATATAGGCAGTCTCCTCCAGTGCAATTAACGGCCTCTGAAAACCCACTGGAGAGTCAGCTATGAGCTGGTTCTGACTCAATGCCACCACAACGGGGGGCATGGGGGCGGGGAAGACTTTTATTATATCTGGAACACTGCTTAACATGGCTTCTTTGTTTTACAGAAAATTTACCAATGGTGTGGCACCACCAGTAACCGATATGAGAGACTGAAAGCCACCCAGATATCCAGGGGCATCAGGGACAATGAACGAAGTGGCCGGGCCCAAGTGCTCGTGTTTGAGGAGGGTGCTGAGCCTGAGGCAATGATCCAGGTACCCACGTCACGTGTCTGGGTGGGGCTGGGCTGGGCATGGCGACAGGATGTTTATGACTGCCTTCCATTCAACAGGCAATTTTGAGGCAAATTTGAAGGGGGAAGCGAGTCTTTTCCTTTTAAGACAAGGAATTAAGAATTCTTGGTTTTCCTTCTTGTTTTTATCTTACTTTTTTGTGGTACATGATGCCAGCTGAGGTTTTCAGCGAAACCAACAGATGGGACAGGAATTGATTATAGTGCTCCTTTTTGTAATCTCTGAGCAGCATATCAAATTTAGGGCTGACCATTTCACACTAGCTTTAACTTGTTAATTTACTTTGGGTTTTCTAGAGAGGCATGAGCGCTCTGGTGGCCGAGCGGTAAGAAGCTGTGCTGCAATTCCAAAGGCATTTGGTTTGAATCCTCAGCTACTCCATGGGAGAAGGATCTTCCCCTGTGTGATTTACTGCCTCTGAAAACCCCTAGAGGATCAGCTATGTGTCAGTTCCGACTAGACCGCACACAAAACTGAGGGGCAAAACCAGTGAAATGTAGTTACATAAGAGTATAGTGAGATATTTACATCAAGGAAATAGCTTTTGCAATTGTGGGAACTGGCAAGTCCCAGATGTTGGGTCTGGTGGTGAGCTGGAGGCCTCTACTGGATGAGTTGCAGAGGAATCTAAAACCTGCAAGTCAGGAAACAGGCTAGAGACTTTGACAGGCTTACGTGCTAAGAACCAGAGGCGAGGTGACAAGAAGAGTGCTTGGTGGGAGAGAGGGCATGCTTTGCCAGAGTGTCCATTTATATGCTGGAGGCAGGCCTCACCCCCATTCACCTGACTGGCTGTTCACTTCCAATCACAGAATGGAAGGTAACTTTATTATGGAAGGGAAGAATCTGCTCATTGCTAGAGTCAGAACCCCCTCATAGCTGAGTCTCCACAGGTTTTTGAGTTTGTCAATTGCACAGAAGATTACCCATTTTCCTACTGATGAGCTTCTGGTGAATTTGAACCACCGGAGAGGCGTGGCCTTTGGGATGGCAGCACAACTCCCTACAGATACCTGTCAATCACTGTCATAGCCGAGCCAAGACGATGTTTACATTGACCATCATAGCTTCCTGCGGTTTACAACAATTTCCCCAACTCTCTGATCCTCAGTGGTTTCCAGTTCTCCGATGTAACCATGCTTCATCATCAGAGTTAGATATCACATGTTGACATTGGAACCTGGCCTGATGAGAACTTGGCATTTGCCTTTTTACTTAGAATAATTGATGCTCTTCGGTGTTGATCATGATGGTCATGTGCTCCACTACGGGGACATGGAAAGATGGACAGTTTATTCTTTATCATAAGGTATTTATTTAGGAAGTAAGGAAGAGATGCTTCCTGGCAGCTCCCACACTCCCCGAGAAGTGGGGCTGGAGTCCTAGGACACTGGCCAGCTAAGAATTGTGACCTTACCCTTTCGAGAAGCCAAATCTTCTGCAAGGAGCTGAGGCAGAAGGCCTCTCAGCATTTCCTGAGGGTAAACCTGGCACTGGATCTAGATGAGAAAGACACCAGGACCATGACTTTCTTTGGGTTTTTTTTTTTAAATTAGAAAGAGGCATATAGCTAGTGAAGGGTAGGCTGTGCAAAAGAGTTAAAGGGAAAAGGAAAGGAGAAGGGATAAAGAACCCCCAGAAAGCAAAGAGGGGGTGAAGCTAAATCTTGTAGCATGTTGTCATTAAAAATGGAGAGAGAGTGAGGAAATTACTTTTGACAGGCGGGAGCCTAGGGGCAGATGCAGGGCATCTCAGGAGAGGAGTCTTACCCAGTTTGGATGCCTGAGTTGATTGCTTGCCCGGGAGCTCCTGAGGTGGCTAGGAGCCTCCCAGGAGCTCACATTGTGCCATCTCACTATCCTCCAACTCTTGCAGGTATTGGGTGTCAAGCCAACTCTACCTCCAGGAAGTGAAGACACAGCCAAGGAGGATGCAGCCAACCGCAGACTGGCCAAGCTCTACAAGGTGAGTTTTGGATGCTCTGTCTGCTGGAGTCCCCCTGTGGGATTACAATGAGATCTTGAACGAAGCATCCCCATTGGCATCGTTTCTTCCTTTTCTCTCCAGTGGACACTCATCTATTTCCTTTGCCTTCCTGCACTGAGAATAAGACAATATGATAGACTTCAGTCACACCTGTGTCATGTTCTTCCTTTGTCGAATCTTGGGCAATACTTGTTCTCACTTGAGATCAGTTTCCTAGTCTGTACAATGGAGGAGAAAGGCAATATAGTGAATTCTGTAGGATAGAGTCTAAAGAGCGAACTAAGGAGCCTAGTGGTAAAGAGCTGTGCTGCCATCCCAAAGACAGGAGGCTTGAATCCACCAGCTGCTCTTGGGAGAATGATGGGCAATTTACAGCCTCTGAACACCTGCTGAAGGGTCAGCCATGAGTTGGCTTTGACTTGATGACACACAACAACAAAGAGATCATGGGTGGGAAATGTCTTAGGAAAATATTGTTATATACCACAGAATCAGAACCAACTCATAGCTGAACTTCTGCTGGGTTTTCAGAGGCTGTAAATCCCATGGGAGGAAGTGGCCCGTCCTTCTCCCATGGAGCAGCTATTGAGGGAAATACTATAGAAATGGGTTTGCGTATGGGGGAGGGTTGTAGTGAATGACTTTATAATTCCTTCCCTGTGGCTTTTAAAAGTGACTTGAGGCTTATCTTGAGCTGAAGAAGTTTGACCTCTTGTCTGAGTTTTGGACCAAAGTCCAGGCTAGCCTATTTCTCTTATGTTGTGCACTAGGCTTATTTGTTGTT